TTTAAGCACTTAGAAAAACATGAGATTGCTATAAAATTCTTACAAAGTAATTTATTTATTATAAAAATGTGGCTTGTAATTTATTTTATTTGATGGTCAACTTAGTCGTTAACTTTAACGTCGACATGTTCATATGTATGTGTAAATTTTGGTAAATGCATATGGTATTTTCCCCACATAAGTACAGTTATACTGAAATTAAATCACACAGGGGCCTAGAACTAAAAATTGACATTTAAACACAAATTTTATCATAACAAATTGTCTTAAATAATAATCCTATCAGGTTTAGTGCAGCAGATAACAAATATTTCCTTAAGGCAGCAAGTAACTAGTGAAAATATTTACCAACTTTGTTTAGTTGATCGCAGACATTGGCGCGCAGAGGGCGTTCGATAAACTAACCAACTAAAATTATTAAAAAATTGTATTGTAATAATGACCTACTATCTCGGTTTGATATTAATTGTGTGTGCAGTGATATTTTGTAGCTTCTTGGTGGCCTTGTTGGGTGCTTTAAGACGTCGGCGTCTACGCGCTTTGGCTGACCAAGAAGCTCAACTGTTAAGCGAAGCAGGACTTAACTGAAACTTTTTATAAAATATATATCAATAATAACAAAATAAATTTTAATATTTGCCCAATTATCTACATAATGCATAACTAAGTAATTACACTGCCTGTCGAAAAACATGGTACATAAAAGCCTCAAGAGATTTGGTGAATACAACTATTTCTACTTATTTTTTAATTTATAAATTCTGACATTTATTCATTTATTTTGTAATTTTAACTCCAGGTCTGTGCTATTCGAAGTTACTTGTTTTTCAACGATTGATAATTATCTGTCGACATTCGATGCTAAAATCCTTCATTGTTTCTAGTAACTTTAATTAAAATATAATTTCCTCTACTATGTATATAAGTATGAGTACATATGTACAGTGAAACCTCCCTTCGACTGAAACTCGTCATCGCCCAAGAAAGATTTCTGCCTTTAAAACTCACTAATTTATTATTGAAATTAAAAATTGTCATAAATATGGCTCAAACAGGTATTATTATGTATTACTTCAAATGTCCAAACTCAAAAAAAACTTGGAAACCGTCAAATATTACAAATAGATTTCCAAAATTTGCGACGTAATATATTTTTAAATTTTAAACAGCAATCAAAACAGTTTAGTTTGAGGAAATTTCATTACTCTATTCGGAGCCGTATTATCCAACTGTACTATCATTAGCAATAGTTTCTAAATTTGCGTCAGTTACAACATCCAATTTGAAGTCTGCGTTTTGGGTGCATATATTATTATCTATTGCGACAAAGTCATACGGACTAGACTCTCGGAAGGTTTTCGATAATGAAAAAATGCAAGCCAATTTTACCACCGGCAAATTTCCATTCCAGCATTCCCTGGCTTCTTTTATGAGATGTATTGTCTGTGAAATATTTATATTTTTTTAGCGACTCTATGCTTGCTAAGATATCTTTAACTTAAAATATTCGATAACGAATTTTAAAATTTTTAATAATACCTTGATCGTGACAAATTGAAGTCGAGTTACCGGAAAAATATTATCTTAATATTTAAAGAATTTATCGAGGGACGAGAAATAATAATAATTTTCTATTTTGCAACTGCATGATTTTGTCGAAATCATTCAGGTACTGTGTCATCCATGCCTTCTTGTTTAACTGCCAATTTACTGGAAGTTTTAAAATATCAATAGACGCAAAAGCTCTTGGACGTACCGCGTGCCGCTTCCCAATAACAAGAGGTTTTTCTTTTTTTGCCGGCCATATTCGAACGAAATAGGTCAACTTTTCTTTCGAAAGTTTGCCTCTACGAAAAAGTTCGTATTTTATAGCCAACGTTTTGTTTGGCCAAGTTCGGTAGAAAAAAACTGTTTTGTCAACATTATAAGTATCCCTGGTGAGAGTTTTTCCAAAAACTGCTGTACATTTTGCATATTAACCGCAGCACTTTAACCACAAATAAAACAAAAGCTTATGTTATTTCTAGCTAGACATTTTTGGAGCTAGCCGTTAGAAGTCAAAGAATCATCGACGCCGAGCTTAAAGTCGGATATATTTACATAGAATTTTGTATATATAATTGGATTAAAAATTTTTAAACCAAAATACATTTTTTAATTAATATTATAGTAAATAATTGTACGCGTCCGCCTAAGGTAGGATCATTTGTTCTAAATATTGCACTTCAAATTTGGTTCAAGAAAAAATGTCCTCTCAAAGGCAGTGTCCGTCTAATAGAAGCATTCGTTAGGACAGGTTTTTCTGTATATATGTACATGATTTTATAGAACCTTTGAAAATAAGAAAAAGTACTTCGCACTAAATATAAACCCCCGCTTCTTCGATCCTTATGTTTTGATTGGCGGAAACGCCTTTGGCATTCGTATGAAGTTTGAGCGGAGTATGGGTTTTAGTTTATAGTATAAAAAGTCTACATATGGTATATAATTACTGCTATTGAAAAAGTTGTACAATGTTTTGGAAAGCGCAAGTATTTAAGTGAAAAATGATTTTATGGATATAACTGCCTGCCTTTATTTTTGGTAAGTTTGGCAATAGAAATATTTAAGGATCATCAGTCGTATTTGTCTAGAGTTCAGCATAACTTTTACAGCCAGTTGAGTCGTAGCACTGGCTTCCGTAAAAAAAACTCTGCATACCTTAGTTAACTTCCCAATATTAATGACGAATTAACATCAGTTCTGTGTGATAAAATAGCAAATCGATTATGCAGGATGTGAAACTACATTGCAATTCTTCTCACTTGAAGAATTTATTATAAACAAACAGTTTTTTTTAAATACATTTTATCAGTTCTTGCTAATTCGCATTAATGTCGTATAGATTAAAGCCCAATATGTGTGAGTACTTGAGTTGTCGAATCGATATATTGCGATAATTCACTGTGAACAGATATACACATAGTGCGCGCAAGTGAATTTTTTATTCTTCACAGAGTTTCAGTTGAATATCTCTCCTCTTTGTTCGCGTTTTTTCTCCAGTTGTTTGTGAATTATTACTGTTAAAAATTTAACTACTTCATTTAATTAAATGTGAATTTGTGCTGTGTAACATGTTTGGTCATCCGTCGGAAGAAAACCACAATATAGTCGTTATAATTTTGGCAATTTCATTTTTTGTTGCGACCGCGTTGTTGCTCTTTGTGCTGATTTCAGCTTATTTAAAGAAGCGTTCCGAGAAGATGAAATGTCTTCAAACACTTTTTCCAAAAGGTTTGTGGCTTTATTTATTACTTGTTTTGTTATTCAAAATTTTTTTGAAAAAAGGGAAAACAGGTCGGGCGTTTTCGAACATTACCAATTACAAGTATGTATACTACAGAAATTACAAGAATTAACAGAATCAAATGTCTCTGATTTCTGTGATTCGATTATGATTATATATGATTTAAGCAAACATATTGTGACTATTACGGACGTCAGAACAAAATCGAAACGAGGATACATTGCCAGAATTAGCTAGACAGCGAAATTCGTAATTGCCAGAATGATCGAGTGGCGAAGTTTGGTTAACGATCTTCAATGTAAGAGCTGTGGATTGTTGCAACCAAGTCACAATAACAAACTGCGTGTATCAAGTTTTGTTTCGATATTCTGCTTTGATTTGTTGTCTAGTATATCTTCTTTATTCAATTTAGACAACTCACACTATATTTTTGCGATATTATAACTGAGAAAGGTTCTTTAAAGTCGACAAATTAAGTATGGCTGTCGATCAAAAGAAAAACTTTCTCATCGTAACGTTGATCACTGGTTACATTCCTCTTTTTTGCCCATTTAATTTTCTATACAACTACAAATAAAAGGGTTTTGCGTATTGTTATCAGCAATATTTAGTGAAAAACTTACGCTTTGGTCAAAATATTTCTGAAAACTATATTAATTTCCGATTTAGGTCAGATATGAAGTTTGTAAATATCACAAAAAATAAAATGTTCGATCCGAGAGATGGCGCTATTGTCGTAATATATCGAAATTATTTTACGGACTATTTAGGTTTATATTTAGTACAAATCGGTCTAGTAAAACTTTATTACTTGTCTAAATCGATCAATGCTTCGCTGCAGGGTGTTTCCTCTTTACACATATTTACAAGCAATAACTCAAATTGCACTCAAATCGATTTTCACTCAATATTTGCCGATAATGACTAAGTAACTAGCACTGATAAGCGGCTACTATTGGGCGATTTCAATGCCAACTCATAGGTGTTGTTCTTTATTGGCTTCCCAAGTGTCCAGCGCTAACCTTAGAGTTTGATTTGATATATTTTATCTTTAGCAATTGTTTAAAAACTCATAAATATATTCAGAGTCTAACCATTAGCAGTCAATTGCTCGTGCCATGCAAATAAACTTGATTTTGTTTTTAATTGTCGTGAAAAATAGTTGATGAATTGTATACATATTCTTCTGAGTGAAAAATAAACAAACACAGCAAAACATTATGTGGACCGGTATGATTATTGGTATTGTAATGGGTTCCTTCGTAGTCGCATCGGCAATTACGTGTTTATGTCTCGGAATTTGCTATAATGCGCGAAAACGTCGAAATATGCACAACAACACAACGTTTCCGAGCCGTTAGTAAAACCTTTTATTCTAAACTTAGTTAATAAATATTTGTGTATGTGTGTGTGTGTGATAAAATTGATTGATACTGAGTCAGGGCTAAAGCGTGTACTGATAGTGCCATATGATAAGGTCCAACGGTTGACAACTAGACAATTTGAGTTCAAGATATGAAAAAAAGCTCATAGGACACATTTTGTGGGCTGTGTGTATTGAATTTTGGAAATTTTTTATTTAAAATCGCGCCGAAAATACTAGAAAAATCATCTTATGATTTTAAGACATTGACTCTACTTAAAACGTGAAGCGCTGAAAAATATTGTGAAATAAGTTATTCAGAGTAATAAATTAGAGTTTTAATCTGAATAGTGTTAAGGCATTTTTCTGAGTGTACAAAGCAAAAATAAAAATTTTAATATAATAAAATAAGGATTTCTTTTTCAAACGTTAGCAGAAAACTTCCAGAATATGCTATGTAACAGTCGTGAAAACCGCTGAAATTTATAAAATGTGTTTTTGTTTTTTAATGCAGATAATGTTTATGTTAGACCGATTTACATGCGAAAAAACTGTTTTTTAACAGAATTGAATTACCTTTAAGAGGGAATATTCTGAAATATAGAAAAACTAAAATGGTACTCAGTTGCCAAGGGTCAGGCGCCAGTTGTCTAACGGCTACTATACTGACGCTAGTTGCCATACACAATAGGAGTGTTAATTTTAATGTCAGAAATTAAGTTTTGATAAATCAATCAATCTGAATCAATCTCGAACCATAATTATGTATACCGAGTATCCAAAGATATCTTTAAATAACTATTCTTTTTTTCGTCGTGAATCAAAAATCTTCGTCTTACAATCGTTGAGACATCCGCTATGAAATTGTGCAAAGAGAAGAATTTAGTTCCACTAACTCGCCTCAAAGCCAAAATGGACAAATATTGTTTCATGCATACCCTAGTGCTCTTATCTATTCCTGATTAAATTAAGGGCATTTCCAATATTCCATGCATTGCTTTCTTATCGTTCAAACTATTACTCTTGTTTATTTTTTAAATATACTTCTTCAGTTTTCTATAAATATTGTGCATGCAATCATGGATGAGCTGACAGCTGCTAGATTGCAATTGATTTTAGGTTTTATTATAGTGGTCATATGGTTTTACTGTGTTTTCGAGGTGTGTCGTCGGCGAAGACAGCAATATCAGCAGTTTCCCAATGTCTCTAGTAAGTGAAATATTCGAAACATTGTTTGCCTTTATACGATAAATATTTCGACAAAAATTCGGATCATCAACTTCATCACATATTCGAAAGTTGATGAGTCACACATGGATACTTTCCTATTGTAAACTGAAATTTTATTTTTATACCCAGTTATGTATCCACAGCATACTCTTATTATTATCTTATCAGATTAGATGGTATCTAATCTCAGCCTATTGCGATACTGATTTCGTGTACAAAAACTGAATTTGAATATCGACAACTACAGTTAATACGCATAATTTCTCCAGCCTGTTTCACAGTCTTCATATTGTACACCGTAAAGATGATCGCTGTAGGCTTTGCTATTTGTCTAGCTCTGCTGTTCCTCGGGGTGTTCGCTTTAATTGCCTTGGGTATTTCAGCATACCATAGAAGAAACTATCAGCAACATCTGCGGTTTCCGAAACGTTAGTATCTGCCTTAGGGTTTATTGGTTTATCTTAATCTACAATTAAAATTATAATTTGATTGTCAAAACACGCTTTCCATAAAGCGTTAAAAGTACTACATAACAGTGCAATAAATCAAAAATGTCTGTGCTATAATCGATAATGTCGATTATTTATTTAAAATATAGACTTTGTAAATCATTAGATTGTAAAATATAAGTACGCGATTACGGGATTAGGGAACACTATTTTTTTAAGTGTTAATGAATTAATTAATAGAATAATGAATAATGAAGTCATTGCTTTAAATCCCTTAAAAAAATTATACAAAATGTGCAAGTGTTGCAAAGGCAAAATATAGTATACAGAGACCTCACATTTAGTAAAGAGGTATAGGAGTTAAGTTACTAAATAAAATCTGGTATGAAACTTCAACATTTTCCAGTGATTACAATTAAAATAAGTAATTTAATTTCGATAACTAATCGATCACATACTACGGAAGCTTTAGTAATTTAACGCAGAATATTTTGATGATCACTTGATCATACATATTAAATAAAACGATATTTTTACGCGTTTAAAGGTTGTGATTTATCGGTTTTTTCGAAAAGCATGCTTGACAACACCCAGTGAGCAAAATTAACTTTTAGTCTTGTTTCTTTTTTAAATCATAAACATTTCAAATCGATTTTATTAAATAATAAAAACGGATCCATAATCGAATTTCGGTTATAATTTTTCTTTTTTTCTTTTCAAAATTCTCAAAGTCATCGACTTCATGAACGGAAATTATAATGAATAAAAGTAACGTTTTCACTTGTAATATGTTTGATTCGAAAGAGATAATCTGCCATACGAACTGATCGATCAAAATCATGTCCTTGTATGAAAAACTTTGTATTTGTGAAGGGTATTATAGTTTCGATGCATTCGAAGTTAACGTTTTTTTCTTATTTTATTATGAAATTAAAAAAAAAAATGGAAAATTTGGATACAGTGATTACAAAAAACAGCTAGTATAAGCTATATAGCTATGTAGCTATCAAAAGCAGAATAAAGAAGCAAATAGAGATTGCATAGAATGGAATTATACAGCACCATCTTTAAGCGTTGACATTTTTTAAAGATCGGAGCGCAAACATATACTTGGTGCTGAGGAATTGTGAATTCATTGAGATATATAAATATGTATTTTTATGGATATATGAATTATGGTGGACCAAAAAAAATAAACTTTTTCCCTTTATATGCATATTTTCCTATATATGTTATATCTGACCCTATATGTAACTCGATTTGTTTTAGGTGATACAAACAACCGTTGAACAATATTACTATACTCTGAGAGTATAAAAAGCATTTGGGATTTTACACATCTTATTTACGCTTATTCGAATGCTTATCTTTTTGTTGTTTGCTCTTGTCTCTATCGTCCTCAAGTAGGCCCAAATGAGTGTAATAACAGTCCTGATAACACTTGTTTACAGTCATTTTGCGACTGTGATATTAGAGGCTGTTTCTTGCTAATTGGGGTTGCTAAAACCGAAAATGATAGTAAAAATTTCACGTGGGATTTTTTGTGTTGTAGTCACGGGGTGTAAGGGTCAAAGCACCAACATTTACTAAAATGACAAAAATAGCTGTACGTAATGGTCTTAGCACATCAGTCGCAAATTTTTTCTTCAGATTTGTTAAGTAGTGTAATTAACACTTATAATTTTATTTTGCAGTCTTGCTTCTATGTTCCCTAATTTATTTTCACAAAGCTCACTTATCCATATTAGGCTGCGTTTAGACTAAAAAACTTTGTTTACTTAGTAGCGGCAACTCCTGTCTTGCCATCTCATTCACACAGGGCAATTTTCGATACTTTTCTGAGGTTTCATTTCATATGATTGTCCGAAATTCTTTTACATTTCGGTTACCTATTTCGATTTTCTTTTAGTTCAATTTGGTGCAAATTCTTCTCTTTCTAAAATATTAACTATTATAGTAAAGGACTAACTTAACATTTTGTAGCAGCTAAGATCATGTTGTTCGAGCACAAAAATAATTCCGTTTCTTGTCAGTCTCTTTTCCACAAACTTCGTGTTGTCATTACTAAATAATAATTTAATATCTTATATTAATTGTAAAGTTTATCGAGAATACAGAGATAACTAGTTGCACAAGGAAATTCCCATGAAGAAGTTTTCAATTGAGCTCTAAAAATAAAACAAATATCACAAATATAGAATTGGTTAATTATAAAATTATGTGAATTATAATCGTTATTGTTTCTAATAATATGCGTATTATCTTAGTACGTGGATATTTCCGTATAGGGGTATCTTTTGCCCTCGTATTATCTGACATTTTACGGTTTTTGTGTATTTTTGAACTCCCAATTTATTAGATACTTGCTTAGTCCAACATTGCAGCCGAAGTATCGTTTAAAAATACATATACTTGTATACTTCAACTTGTGTGGTTTCAAAAATGTCATTTACCACACATCATATAAATTCAAAAGTGCTTCCCAAAGTGTTAAAGATTATGTTCCAATCACAATGGCTACAAAACAGGAGATATCTGTAATAAAAACGTACCTGATACTTGACAATAGATAAGATAAAGGTACTTTGTTAAAACACTGGAATATATATTATGACACTGAAAAGCAGAAATTGCAATTTCATGTTTGCATTTCCATTATCTCTACACTAAGTCGTAAAAAAGTCACAAACAACTAATAATACCATACAATTTTATTCGTTGCATTTTACTTTCCCACATTACAGATAATGTTTATTATTTGATATAGAAAATTCTGGCAAATGGCAAACTAAATTATATATTACAAACAAAATAGAGTTAAGAAATATATTTTAGTGAGCAATTTTTGAAATAGGATTAAGTATTTAAATTATTAAAATTTGAAATATATAATATGCATACATAAATACTATGTAAATAAAATATAAATACTATTTAAATATTATTCGATCATCTAACCAAACAGGTTTAAGAATGTTGTTGGACTTATGTATTCTTGAGTAGAGTTGCCATCTCTTTTTTAAATCAATTAAAGTTAATGAAATACTACAAGCCAAACAGGTTTTTAAAATATTTTTCAGGTAACAATTTTTTGAAGAGTTGTCACCTGTTTAATTTTTGTAAATACAATAAAATTTGTAAAAAATTAAAAATTACAAACCAAATTATAGAAATATTTCTGTAGGATAAATTTGTGTGAAGAGTTACCAGCTGTTAAATTTTATATTGAAAATTATGAAATATTACAAACCTAACTGGTTTAAGAAATATTTCTGCTGAAGTAATTTTTGGCTTGGAAAATGTTAGTTAAAACATTTATGAAATTTATAAAACAAATTTAGTAGTAAAACATTGGCATTAAATGACAATTGAGTCATATTTGACGTTCATAGAATTGCTATAGTCTCAAAAAATTATGTATCCCAGTTCCTACCTGGAATATTTCACTTCTGACGTTCGCAATTTGTTTTTAATGCGACTAATCTTAAATAACTCACTCACTCACTCTAATGCACTAATACACTACTTTAGATTAGGTTATACCCACCGGCATTTGCTTATTTACTACGCCAAATATTTAGATCTTATCGGCAGCCTTCGACGTTATCAATTTCATTCGCGTAATAACTAACTTGGGTAGCATTTGTTGCAATGAACATATTCTTTAGTACAAGTTCAACTTATTCTGCGTTAAGTCGCTTCTCCGTGTTGTTTCAAAATTATCTTCTCTTTGTTAGATGCAAAAAGAATGATTGACGGCTTAGCTTTCACCTTGTTTATAACATTTTTTGTATTTAGTTTAGCCGTTTTGGGCGCTTTCTGTTTGCGTGGACACAAGCGGCGCATAAACGAAAGATGTCCCAATAAAGGTGTGTTCATCAGCATTTAAACTATCAGGACATATTCATTACACAGTTGATAAGTTATTATTATAGAACTTGTAAAAGTGACGTGCAGATATGATAACACAAATATATATCCGTTTAAAATATCAGATTAACGCCTACTCTTATCAAGTGTGATTGGGTACAAATACTTTTATGAGCTTCTTGTTTTTGCGAAGTTTCTACAAGTGGCTCTCAACACCATGTTGACCTTCATATTGTCATTAGTTGGTGCGAAGTGCACTTAGTTGCTGCGTAGCGCTTTTTATTATTTCGTTCTTGTTCAAACTCTCTTTTTGAATTGTATCACACAGCTTAAATATTAAAAATGGAGGCTTTTGTCATTGTGTTCATTATAAATTTTATTATTCTCATAATAATTTTAGTATGTGTAACTATTATTTGTCCGAAAATACGTGAAACACGCAATAGAGGTCGCATACTAGCTGGTAAAGTGCTTTTTGATTTCAGCTATTCAGTTTCTGCTGGCTTCCACGAATTTTCAGCTCTGTTTGACATTCTTTAGTAATTTTTGTTTATAGACACTACTTAGAATGTGTGAACGCTACAAAATCTAATCTCAAATGTATTTATAGCAAACACCATACAATAGCTAATTTGTATTTATCTACTTTTATTGCAGCACCCGTTGTGGTGACATCAACTACACATACAGCACCTGGCGGTTACCCGGTAACACAAGTGCCGCCGCCCAATGCTTATCAACAGCAGCCAATGTATCCACCATACCCAACGGCAGCAGGGTAAGTCATTAACGCTTCTGTCAGCATCATATTCTTTATATGCAGTGTACAACAATTACACGTGCCACAGCGCTGCATATCCAAACCAAATTTAACATATTCTTTTTCATAATCCACAGCGGTGCCGGCCAAATGCCTATGCCGATGCCAAGCGCCCAACCGCCAATGCCTGGGTAAGTTTTGTCGTACTAATTTGTTATTGTTGATATTTTTAATTATTGTCATCAGCTAATTTGTAAAACATTTACACTTGCAGCATGCAACCTTATCCACCAGCGGTGCCTGCAACGAATTACAATCCGCCCAGCTATGAAGCCGCCGTAGCGGGTGTAGGCGTGGCTCAACCAAATACTTACGAAAAGCAAGCGCCCTACAATCCCAATTACAACGCATACTAGAGCTCGACCGAGCGTAGTTAGTTTTACATTTGCAAAATCGCTGCAAATCGTTGCAGTTTTGATATATACCTATTATACATATATACATAATTAATAAGTAAGCCATATATTGCGCGCATGTGCTGGTGCTGATAACGACGAAGAACTGGTTTTCTGCCAAAACGCGATAAGATTTGTTTGCAAGCACTTGGAACGCACGAGTGTTTTGTTATGGAAAACTTGGAAGTAGCCATTGGTGTGAAATCCAAAACAAAGCAAAGCAAATAAGTGAACTGCAAATTCAACTAAAATAAAAGAGAATCATTAAAGTAATTTAAATAATTGCATTGTTTAAGCATGGTACGTACAAACTAATTTGTATTTTTTAAACTTCCTCTCTGTATAATAAAAAAAGAACACAATTTACTTAACCAAATGTCGCCGAAACGTCAGAAAAAAGTATTATGATAATATTTATTTACATTTAATATAATATTGTAAAATTCAAATTGCAATACACAATGAAATACGAGCAAACGAATCAATAAAGAAATGTTTATATTTTGTAAAAAACCATACCTTTTTCTAGTTTAAACTAACATACGAGATAAACAAAAATATTTGTTTCGCTGTCAGCACAAAGGTTTTTTTTACAACATTTTTTAATAATTTTGTAAAGGCCATTATGTAATTGTTGTGATATACGCTAATGTTAGGGACCGCATCTTATATAGGCACATTATTACAGCTTTGTTATCATAACCTTAAATTTTCAATTGCAAATAATTATATAGGTTTTTTTCATTTATTCATCCACTACCAGTATGGTCTTATTGAATTTTTACTATGCTGTACAGCTTATTACAATTTTATAACATATTAATTCATTAGTGATAAACACTAATGTACAATACATATAGTCTGAATTTTTTACAAATACTTACTATATTATCTTCTTATCGTCGTTTGATTTTAAAAAATTATTGCTTTGTATTATTGAATAAAATACTGTTTTACTATTGAATGATTTGAATGATTTGACTGATTTCCAATAGATCAGAAATAATCAGGGATGATAATTGTTTAAATAAGATTTCAAACCGATTCAAATTGTTCTGGATGTCATGTTCATTTAATGTTGGAAACGGAACTTTTTTCCGGTATTATGGAAACAAACATTATGCTTAAATAAATTTCGATTTGCCTTAAAACACTTAGAAAAAATCTAATTTTTGTTATACATGAGAACAAAATGTAAAATGCCAAATTTAATGCTCATGGAACGTGTTAAGTCAAGCGTGACGAGCTGAGTCGATTTAGCCAGCTCCATCTGTCTGTACGTGTGTCTGTATACGCTCTTTTCTCCACAAGAAGTTTCTCATTTGGCGGAACCGGCGATATCGGATCACTATAAAAATGCACAAATTCACGTTCTGTAAAGAATGCGTTTCGCTCAACTTATGGTCAACATAATCGGCCTACTGAGCATACTATTCGCAACACCTTCACCATCTTCGCAGCAACTCGGACTGACGTATGGAACGACTTGGACCTTCACCCATCTTCAGACCCAGTAGTGAAGAAAATATAGCGGCCGTAGCTGAAAGTATACACGAAGACCGTGGAAAGTCGTTCGCAGCAACTCGAAATGACGTATGGAACAACTTGGCGCATTTTACTTCGATATCTTAAATTGAAAGCATACAAAATACAGCTTTCGCTTTTCCAAGCAGGCTCTTGAAAAGTTCCAAGAAGATCCATGGTTTTCGAGTCAAATTTTGCTCAGCGATGAGGCCCATTTCTGGCTCAATTTGTATGTAAAAAAGCAAAATTGTCGCATTTGGAACAAAAAGCAACCTGAAAAGATTCAAGAGCTGCCATTTAATCCAAAAAAAAAAAAACAACGGTTTGGTGTGGTTTCTATGGTTTTGCCGGTGGAATCATCGGTCCATATTTCTTCAAAAATTATGCTGATGAGAACGAATCCATCAATGTCGACCGTTATCGCGCCGTGATAACGACTATTTGATGCCTGAAATTGAAGCTCGTGATCTTAGCGATAATTTCCGTCAGACTTTTTCCTGAGGGGATATATTATATAAAGTCTAAAGTCTATGCGAACAATCGCGCTTCGATTCAAGCCTTGGAGCAAAACATCACGCGTGTCATTCGCTAGTTACAAGTCGAAATGCTCTAACGGGTCATCGAAAATTGAACTCAACGTATGAACCATCTTAGACGTACCCACGGCCAACATTTGAAATAGATAATTGTCAAAAATGGATCACCCATTAAAAAAAGTCCTGTACATAATATACACAAAATGGTGCATATACGGTTTTCTAGTGACTACTATATAGTTGATGTATATAGACCAAAAGTCCAAAATAATTTATTAGCGATCTGAGGTCGGGAAGAAGAAGTGAACGTTGGTGGTTGAATTTTTAAAGATTAAAATCTGTTCCTAAGTCCTATGATACGGGGAAAAAGTTAAAGGGCAAATTTGTAGGTAATAAAAATATTTAAAACTTTTGCATTAACACAAAACCTCAAAATTTAAGGGAAAAATTCAAATAATCAAGTTTTAGGTGTTTTTATTTTTGTCTTTTAGTTACAAAAAAACAGTTTTCTTTAAGAAATTTGGGGCAGCCTTCCAAAATTGAACTTAAGTTATTTCATTGGTCCTACGCTGGAAAAAAATGCACATTTCATGGATCTGAATGGACAGAGTGGCCTTTCGTAAATCTCTTATTATAACAACAAGACCTATTTCATTCAAATCTGTTGCAGGGACAGGAAAATTTTCTACACAAGCTTTTATTACCATACCACCTTTACGTTTTTTTTTTTGATATTATTGTCAGCTGTATAAAATACATAAAACTATTTTTTTGTATATATGTACAAAGTGCGTTCCAAAGTAAACAGGACTTTTAAAAAAAGACAGAACAAATGGTTTAATCGGCAAAATCAATTAATTTTATTCAAAATAGTCTCCTTCTACTTTAATACAGCTTTTTGCACGGTCCAAAAGCATGTCGAACGAGTGTTTCAGCTCGTTGACCGTTATGACCGCCAGTATGCCAGTGCAAGCCTTTTGAATGGCCTTCACGTCTGCATAACGCTTTCCTTTCATCGGCAAATGCATTTTTCCGAAAAGGTAGAAGTCGCACGGTGCCAAATCAGGTGAGTACGGGGAGTGGTTGATTGTTCAAATGTGATTTTTAGTCAAATAATCGGCCACAAGCGTCGATCGATGAGACGGCGCATTATCGTGAAACAAACGCTAACTTCCATCTTCGCGATATTCGGACCGAACACGTCGAATACGACGCACCAAACGCTTCAAAACTCCAAGGTAGAATACCGCATTAACGTTTTGGCCCGGTGGAACAAATTATTTGTGGACAATACCCTTGGAATCATAAATATAAATCAGCATTGTCTTCACTTTTGATTTCTCCAGGCGCGATTTTTTGGGTTTCGGCTCATCGTCATTTATGTCCTCACGACCTCTTTGAAAACGTTGAAACCACTCGAGCACTCTGCTACGGGATAGGCAATCATCGCCATAAACTTGTTTCTTCAATTGAAACGTTTCGGTAAAAGTTTAAGTATGACTCTGTGGGAGGTTAATTCTGCGATGAGTGGGTTTGAATGTCCAGTAATTCTAGTTTTATAGGCCACAACGTACTTTTTTATTTCTTTAGTAATAGAAGCGATATTCAGGTCCCGATGAATCTGATTGTTTGTGATATAATATGGACCATTTGCAATCATTCTGAAATCTTTGTAGTATTTCGATATGATCGGAGGATGGTTCAATTAGGTCAGGGGTAAAAACTATTTTTAAGTGGTGTGTAAACGTACTTGCTTTTTCTTCACTTTTGGCCCATTTATTGTTTTCCATTCTATTGGTTGATTGTACTAGTGCTAGTCTCTTCAGCTGATTTGTTTTTTTTTCAAAAGGAGTATTCGGCGACAGCAGTTGCATCAAGACTTTTGAGGTAGCTCTGCAGTTGACAGTTTCGTTTTTTTTTGGAGTAAGTCTTTAAGTTGTTTTGTAAGAGCGTTTAAGGTCATTTTGTCTTCTCGCTTCGAGTTTGTTTATATTATTCCCTTGCACGTCGTTTTTCTTTTTGCCTTTTTCTAACTGTCGATGAAATTTGGACTTTCCGTCTCATGTTCGTAGCGGGTGTCGAGTTCCATGCAGCTTGTTGGACATATGCTTTTATCGGACGTTTTCTTGGCTCGACAGTATTCTATCCTTCACCTGAGGAGGACTTACTACAGGAAGAGAATTGAATGATTTTTGCTGTTTTTATAGGACCTGACCTGTAGTTGTTGTTGAAGCTGGTCTATTCGTTCTTGTAGACTCAGTATCATATTGCTATCTTATTTTTGTTGTTGTTGTTGTGGGTTGTTTAATTTTGCTCGTCTACTGTTATTTGTGGTGTTTTCTGTTGTTTTCTTTGGATGGGGAGTGGTCTACAGGTATTTTTGAAACTTTGGGATTTATTTATTTATTTATTTTTATTATTTATGTTGTATTTGGCAGCTCTATTCTTCCCCAGATTTTTTTTTTTTTGTTTTTTGCGCCAAAAATAAAGTTTATTTTGTTTTTGCTGCTCTATGGATTAAAAGTTACACAAAGATTGGTTTTGATTCAAAATATTATCACTGCACTTCGGCTGATTTCAAAGCTAAATCCTTACTAGAGTGTCTATATCTTTAGCCTTATTTCTAGTATGCACATACTTTTCTGACAACTGGATTCGACCGCATTCAGTAACAGCTATGTGCTATCTCTTTACTTATTGTCGAGAATGCCATAAAGTGTTACTCATACGCACCGGTGCACATACTGGAAGGAATTAAGTACTGAGTTGCCATCTGTCAATGTTTACGCAATTACGTTGCATATCCGCCGTAAACAACAAATTGCCCATTCAAAACGTTACATAACTCTAAACTACAGTAAGCATTCAATTGCGTAAAATAGCTGCTCTCACTAAAATTATTACGTATACGCACGGTAGAACCCGATTGAGTGCTTGTTTTGTTGAAGCGTTGAGTTGGTTTTGTATTTAAGTAAGGGCACTGGTTGAGAACAAAACGCAAACGTTTAAAGCGCATGCAAATCAAATGGCTGACAATAGTGGCAATAACAACAAAATTTGTGTGGAAATTACAACAATGGCAGCAACAAAAATTGCTTAGCAAAACAATGCCAGCGTACCATGGCAATAAGAAAGAGCTGCGTAAACCGCCTAGTAAGTGCCCACATTCGCTGCACAACAGAACAATACATATGCAGCACACAGTCGGTCGTTCCATTTTCCATTTCCGGCATTAATCGTGTTGCATTGCTGGTTGAAAGCTGTTGAATTGTTCGTCGCCACAGTGGTGAAGTACGACACAAACTAAACACAAAATTTTGCAAACTTTGATAAAGAATAATTTCCAAAGAAAGTTTGTTTAAAATAGGTTGTTGAAATATGAAAATCGGTTACCAGGAAAGTTTTTACCGGATAAACTGTTTGAGATCTTCAGTGATCTCTTTAAAATAAGCAAAAGT